CTCTTATTTCTTTATTTATTTTTAAGACGGAGACTTGTTCTGTCGCCCGGGGTGGAGTGCAGTGGCGAGATCCCGGCTCACTGCAACCTCCACCTCCTGGGTTCAGGTGATTCTCTTGCCTCAGCCTCTCGAGTAATTGGGATTACATGCACCCACCACCATGCCTGGCTAATTTTTGTATTTTTAGTAGAGACGGGGTTTGGCGATGTTGCCCAGGCTGCTCTCGAACTCCTGGCCTCAAGTGATCTGCCCACCTTGGCCTCCCAAAATGCTGGGATTACAGAGTAAGCCACTGTGCCCAGCCCCTTTAAAAAAAAAAAAAAATTAATAAACTTTATTTTCTAGAGCAGTTCTAGGTTCACAGCAAAATTGAGCAGAAGGCACAGAGAGTTCCCATAGACCCCCTGCCCCGACAGGCACAGCCGCCTGCACTGTCAGCTTCCCCCACAGAACGGTGCATTGGTCACAATCGATGGCCCTCTGTGGCGTCATCTTCATCTCCCAGAGTCCACAGTCTACACCAGGGCTTGCCCTTGGTGTTATGTCTTTTTTTCTTTTTTTTTTTTGAGACAGTGTCTCACTCTGTCACCCAGGCTGGAGTGTAGTGGCGTGATCTCGGCTTACTGCAACCTCTGCCTCCCGGCTTCAAGTGATTCTCCTGCCTCAGCCTCCTGAGTAGCTGGGAATACGGGCGAGCGCCACCACGCCTGGATAATTTTTTAATTTTTAGTACAGACGGGGTTTCACTGTATTGGCCAGGCTGGTCTCAAACTCCTGACCTTGTGATCTGCCCGCCTCAGCCTCCCAGAGTGCTGGGATTACAGGCGTGAGCCACCGTGCGTAGCCGTTGTTACATGTTCTATGGTTTAGACAGACGTGTGATGACATATATTCACGTTACAGTGTCACACGAAGTCATTTCACAGCCCTAAAAATCCCCTGTGCTCCATGGCGTTAGCCTTCCTGACCCCAGCCTGGGGCAACCACTGACCATCTTATGGTTGCCATGGTTTTGCCTCGTCCAGAATGTCATCCGGCCGGAGTCGTACTGTAGTACATATAACAGGCAGGTGTTTCAAATGGGTTTCTTTCCTTTTTTTTTTTTTTTTTTCAGATAGGATCTTACTCTGTCACTCAGGCTAGAGTGCAGTGGCATGATCATAGCTTGCTGCGGCCTCCACCTCCTGGATTCAAGTGATCCTCCTGCCTCAGCCTCCGAGTAGCTGGGATTACAGGTGTGCATCACCGCACCAGGCTAGTTTTTTTTTATTTTTAGTAGAGACAGGGTCTCAGTATGTTACCCAGGCTGGTCTTCAGCTCTTGAGCTCAGGTGATCCTCCCACCTCTGCCCTTGGCTTCCTAAAGTGCTAGGATTACAGGCTTGAGCCACAGTGCCCTCTTTTTTTTTAAAAAAAAAGCCAGCTTCATGGTGTTTTTTTTTGTTTTGTTGTTTTTTTTTTTTGTTTTGCTTTTCTATGAAGTCTTGCTCTGTTACCCAGGTTGGAGTGCAGTGGCGCGATCTCTGCTTACTGCAAGCTCCACCTCCCAGCTTCAAGCAATTCTCCTGCCTCAGCCTCTGGAGTAGCTGGGATTACAAGCGCCTGCTACCACGCCCGGTTAATTTTTGTATTTTTAGTCGAGACAGGGTTTCACCATGTTGACCAGGGTGGTCTCGAACTCCTGACGTCAGGTGATCTGCATTCCTTGGCCTCCCAAAGTGCTGGGATGACAGACGTGAGCCCCCGCGCCTGGACTGAGTTATATTTTAACGCATGGATGGCCACGTTGTGTTGATCCCCCTCAGCTGTTTTTTCTTTTTTTTTTTTTTTTGAGACAGAGTTTTGCTCTTTTTCTCCAGGTTGGAGTGAGTGCAATGGCATGATCTCGGCTCACTGCAACCTTTGCCTCCCGGGTTCAAGCAAGTGATTCTCCCTCCTCAGCCTCCCGAGTAGCTGGGATTACAGGCACCCGCCACCATGCCCGGCTAATTTTTGTATTTTTAGTAGAGACAGGGTTTCACCATGTTGGTCAGACTGGTCCCGAACTCCTGACCTCATGATCTGCTCCCCCCCGCCCCGGCCTCCCAAAGTGTTGGGATTACAGGCGTGAACCATCGTGCCCAGCCTCAGTCCCCTCACCTGTTGATGGACACCTGGGTTGCTGTCACCCTCTGGCTATTGTGATGCTGTGTGAACCTGCGTAAACAGGTTGACATGCCTCTTTCTCTCATCCGTGTTACCCCTCCCCGAAGCCAGCTGCTCTGTGCTAGAGAGCCGGCCCTGGCACCTCCTGGCACCCGGGCAGCGCCCAGCATGTTGGAGGCATTCACTGCTTGCTGGGAGAACAGAAGGGCTGAAGCAGGTATTGGTGGGCCCTCGATGTCCATGGTGGGTTTTGGAGCAGCCCTTGAAACCTTCGTAGCTGTGGGTGGGTGTGTACATGTTCAAACGGGTTTTTCCGATCCTGGAGGATCACTTGCTTGAGCACAGGAGTTCAAAGCCAGCCTGGGCAACACAGCAAGACCCCATCTATAAAAAAAATTAGCTGGGCATGGGTGATATGTGCCTGTGGTCCCAGCTACTCAGCAGTCTGAGGCAGGAGGATCGCTTGAGCCCAGGGTTCGAGGCTGCAGTGAGCTACGATTGCACCACTGCACTCCATCATGGGCAACAGAGCGAGCTCCTTTCTAAAGAAAAAAAAAAAAATCAGACCAGGTACCATGGCTCATGCTGTAATCCCAGCTCTTTGGGAGGCTGAGTTGGGTGGACCCGTTCCCTGTTCAGCTCAGGAGTTCGAGATCAGCCTGGCAAATGTGGCGAAACCCTGTCTCTACTAAAAATACAAAAATTAGCCAGGTGGATGGCTCATGCCTATAGTCCCAGCTACTCAGGAGGCTGAGGCACAAGAATCACTTGAACCCGGAAGGTGGAGATTGCAGTGAGCTGAGATAGCACCACTACACTCCACCCTGGGCGACAGTGAGACTCTATCTCAAAAAAAAAAAAAAAAAATTTTTTTTTTCTGGAAAAGATGAGTCAGCCTTTATCAGGTTCTTAGGTTGATGGTGAACAAAGAAAGAAAGCCTGCAGAGAAGGGCTTTGGCCTTCACTGTGACCCCCATGCTGTTTGTATTTGAACAGCCGTCAGGCCTTGGAACTCCAAGGGACGGAAGGAGGAAGAGCTGACATTCCATGTATGTTTCTCTCCTCCCTTTTCCTAAGAATGCTCCTGAACCAGGACATTTCTGCCTCTAGGGGACACAGGGTGATGTCTGGGGGACATTGGTGGTTGTCATGACTGGTGGAGACCAGGGACGCTCTAGTGCCTCTGCAGCGCCCAGGACGGCCCCACTGTCTAGTGCCCAGAGCGGGAGACCCATCCTGCCCAAGTGGTCAGCCCTAATGTCAGCCATGCTGAGGTTGAGAAACCTGTGTTAATTACACAGAAACCAACCGAGTCCGATCCTGCTTGCACCAGGCACAGGATCAACTCCCGACAGGGCAGACGATGGAAACCAGGGGGACCCCAGCTCCCGGGATTCACTCCCTCTCTCCCTTCCCAGTCAGTGTGTGGATTTTAATGTGTGCAGCCTCCTGGGACCTCAGTAGGGCAGAGCATCATGGGATAAGGAGTCTCTTGGGGGCCTGTGGAATCCCTAACCAAGGGGTCTCACCCAGGGTGATGTCATACCCCCCCCACACCCTGTACTGGATGATGTCTGGGGACATTTGTGGTTGTCACAACTATGGAGTGTTCCTGGCATGGCAGTGTCAGGGGAGAGGAACTTGTTGCCTTGGGGGCATCTAGATGGCAGACCACCGGGAGGGGGGTCCTAGATGGCAGACCACCGGGAGGGGGGTCCTAGATGGCAGACCACCGGGAGGGGGGTCCTAGATGGCAGACCACCGGGAGGGGGTTCCTAGATGGCAGACCACCGGGAGGGGGGTCCTAGATGGCAGACCACCGGGAGGGGGGTCCTAGATGGGATACCACTGGGAGGGGGTCCTAGATGGCAAGCCACTGGGAGGGGGTCCTAGATGGGATACCACTGGGAGAGGGTCCTAGATGGCAAGCCACTGGGAGGGGGTCCTAGATGGCAAGCCACTGGGAGGGAGTCCTAGATGGGAAACCACCGGGAGAGGGGTCCTTGTTGGGGGTTGCTGGAGTGTGGATGGGCGGCTTCTGACAAAATGCCTTGGTCTCTCCAGCCGCCAGATACAGCTCAGGTGATGAGCTCCTCTTTGCACACCTGCTGAGTCAGGTGACCTGGGGGGCAGGCTGTGGAGCCAGGCTGGGGACGGGCCCCAGGGGATGAGGGCATCAGGATAAAGGTGCACAAAGGGGTGGAGCTGAGGCTTGGAGGAGGTGCCCTGGCGGGCGAGATTGGTGCTGGAGCCTTACCCAGGAAGCTCATGGATGCTGGCATGTGCCTCTTGCCGTTCAGGTGGGACAGGGTCTCTCCGTCTTGGCACTGGACAGTGGGGCTGTCCTGGGCACTGCAGGGTGCCAAGCAGGGTTCCTGACCTCCACCCACTCCATGCCAGGAGCTTCTCCCAGTAGCGACAATCACAAATGTCCCAGACATGGCCCAGCATCCCCCGGCGTCTGAGTCGTGTTTGGTTGAGAACCAGTGACAGAGGTGACATACATTCACTGTCACAAAAGCTGCCGTAAACGCGAAGTATCAGGAAAAACTCCCGAGACCCCCATGTATGCTATGCGTAGTGCCCTGTGATGATGCTTTGTGCTCCTGGGTGTGTCCTGCATGTGGTGCCAAAAGCCCTCGCTAGAGGGGCCTGAGACTCTGAGGGAAGGGACTGGGGTGCCACCTGTGAGCAGGACAGCCCCCTGGCATGGTCCAGGTATCATGGCCCTTTACTCTGATGCAGATTGCTCCCCCCACGAGGGCTGGGACATAGTGCTTGGTTCGCGACTGGTGCCCACAGATGCCCACTTGGCATTTGGTGGCTGAACAGCATCTGCCTCTGGTGTCCCTGCAGATGGAGGACGGTCATACCCTCTTCGACTATGAGGTCCGCCTGAATGACACCATCCAGCTCCTGGTCCGCCAGAGCCTCGTGCTCCCCCACAGCGCCAAGGAGCGGGACTCCGAGCTCTCCGACACCGACTCGGGCTGCTGCCTGGGCCAGAGTGAGTCGGACAAGTCCTCCACCCACGGCGAGGCAGCCGCCGAGACTGACAGCAGGCCAGCCGACGAGGACATGTGGGATGAGACGGAGTTGGGGCTGTACAAGGTGCGCCTCCCCTCTGCAGCTGCTCTGGGGTTGGACATTCTCCCTGCCATTCTGATCTTTGCATACCCAGGGCCCACGGGAGGGGCTTCCCACGCCCCTCTCCAGCTCCGGCTGGGGAGAAATGGCCAAGGGGTGGTTTCCTGCACATTCCCTGAGGGGAACACAGTGCCCTGGGCTTCCTTTGTGGACCTCTAGAGCACAGTCCTGTGTGGAGGCCTGCACGTGTTTTCTCTGTGAAGCTTGCAGTGGCTGTGACGTTTCTGAACTTGATGCCACCATGTAAGATCAGGAATTGTCACAGAAAGATCTGGGTTTCCAGCTCTTTTCTTTCTTTTTTTTTTGGCAGGGTCTCACTTTGTTGCCCAGCCTGGGGTGCAGTGGTGTGATCACAGCTCACTGCAGCCTCGAACTTGTGGGCTCAAGTGATCCTCCCACCTCAGCCTCCTGAGTAGCCGATGTTACAGGTGTGTGCCGCCACACCCAGCTAATTTTATTTTATTTTTTTTGTAATACATGGTCTCATTCTGTTGCCCAGGCTGGACTGCAGTAGTGCCATCTCAGCTCACTGCAACCTCTGCCTCCTGGGTTCAAGCAATTCTCGTGCTTCAGTCTCCTGAGTAGCTGGGATTGCAGGCATGTGCCACCACACCTGGCTAATTTTTGTATTTTTTATAGAGACAGGGTTTCGCCATGTTGGCCAGGCTAGTCTCGAACTCCTGGCCTCAAGTGATCCTCCTGCCTCAGCCTCCCAAAGTGCTGGAATTATAGGTGTGAGCCACCGCACCCAATCTGTTTTATTTTTTAGTAGACACAGGATCTTACTATGTTGCCCAGGCTAGTCTTGAGTTCTGGGGCTCAAGCATCCACCTGCCTTGGCCTCCTAAAGTGTCGGGATTCCAAGCGTGAGCCATGACGCCCTGCCTGGATTTCCAGCTTCTCTTGACAAATGGGCAGCTCTGGTCTCTCAGAGCCTTCTAGCAGCTGTGGCTGAAGCAGAACTGCAGGGGCCTTTGTGAAGACAGTCCATGGCCCCTGGCCCCGCATCCCCATCACCCCTGCTGGGGCTGGTTTCTCACGGGCCTGGGTTCCCAGCCGGGGAGGAGAAACCTCGCTGTGGGCATTTGAGTTTGTGCCCTGGTTCCAGAGCATCCCAGCGTCCGAGAACCAAGGTGGTCTCCCGTCAGTTTTCCTTACCCCGTTGGGATACCAGAGTTCCCTCATTCCTCACAGGTCAACGAGTACGTCGATGCCCGGGACACGAACATGGGAGCGTGGTTTGAGGCGCAGGTGGTCAGGGTGACGCGGAAGGCCCCCTCCCGGGACGAACCCTGCAGCTCCACATCCAGCCCCGCACTGGAGGAGGACGCAGACGTCATTTACCACGTGAAATACGACGAGTGAGTCATGGCAGGTGGGCGGGCCTGGGTACTCAGGCTCTGAGACGTGCATCCTTGGCTGCGGGTGTTCAGGCCAGAGCTTGGCACTGTCTCGAGATGGTAATCAGGACCTGGGTCCCCACCCTTGAGTTCCTAACAGCATACAAGGCTCACTGCACCCTCTACCTCCCGGTTTCATACGATTCTGCTGCCTCAGCCTCCCAATTAGCTGGGACTACAGGCGTGCACCACCAAGCCCGGCTAATTTTTGTTTTTGTTTATGTTTTGCTTTTTTTTTTTGAGACATAGTTTTACTCTTGTTGCCCAGGCTGGAGTCAATGGCACGATCTTGACTCGCTGCAACCTCCGACTCCCTCACGCCTGGTAATCCCAGGCCTTTGGCGAGGCTAGGCGGGCAGATCAACTGAGGCGGGAGTTCGAGACCAGCCAACATGGAGAAACCCCATCTCTACTAAAAATACAAATTAGCCAGGGCGTGGTGGCGTGCGCCTGTAATCCCAGCTACTTCGGGCAGCTGCGCAGGGCAGGAAGAATCCGCTTTGAACCCAG